TAGGATAAAACAAGTTAAATGTAAAAAAACAGTAAAATAATGTCCAGAAAAATGGTCTAAAATGAAAAAGGTTTTCCTAAAGCCCAAATATTCCCCTCCACGCTTCTAAGCAGACACTTATTGTTATTTTTATTTCTCAATTATCGTGATTTTTTGTTTTATATTTTGTGAAGGGCTGGGGTATTTGAATGTTGTTTTGCTCAGAGCTGAACTGCGTCCATTCGTCATAAAAGCAGATCACACAGATAGGAAAGGTTTTAGGGCCCTTAGGTCTGCAGGTTTAGGGCGTCAGGAGCCAAACCGAGGCGGACCTCCACGCCCTTTGAAGGAAGCTCTTCCCCGTCTATTGTCCTTGGTAATAAACTTGCTGCTTCCCTCGTTCAAGTTCTCAGGAGCCCTGAAACTTTACCGTTGAGTCAGAGGAAAGGAGAGCAGGTTTTATTTCAACTCACCGTGATTCAGAGACACACTTATCCGGTCTAACATCTWAAAAAAAAAAGAAAAAAGTGCGTTTAAATCCAAACAATAGGAAGGAAAATTTATCTGCTGGCATGCTTTACTATTTTTAATCTCATCCAAATTATTTACAACCGAGTGGTTTGATTTCTCAGAAGCATAGTTACAGTTCAGGCTGCATTTGAATCTAAAAAAAAATTAATCATTGCAAATAATTAGAGCAACATAATTCCCGCAGAAAAGTCAATTAGACACAAATAAAGCCTCAATTTCAGGCGACCTGAGAGATTTCCTGATTAAATCTATTATATGTGAAGGAGAAGAAGATAAAAAAAACAAGTAATTTCTGATTTCCAGCAGAGAGCAGTTCATCAGATGAGCTATTTAATTTTACTGAGTGGAAAATTAAACAGCTCGCATGATATACAGATGCTGCTGTTTATTACCACCCATGTGATACAGATGAAGGCTGAATGAGGACGACAAGCTCGGATTAGTTCAAGTTAAAGAACAAATAAACATCYAAGTAATCAGCGAGAAAAAGAATAATAAAATAACAGCTTCTGCATGAATTTTAACATCTTGTAGAAAACGATGTACTTCTTTTTGACTGAATGGAGTTTTAACATATCCGCTGTTACAT